CATATGTCCATCTGTGCCTTCCGCTCTTCCTTCCTGTTCAGCTTCTATATTCTCACCCCTTTCTCTATGCTTTGAATATAATTTCCCCCAAGAACTCATGAGACATGTGCAACAAAGCCTCCCTCGACCCATTGGCGACCTCAGTTTGTGGCCATGTTATGGCTCAGGTGTTTCCCAGGAGATATAAACTAAGAGTCCGACTCAACTTCCAACAGTGCTTGAAGTAAGGTCAGGGAGGGGGCAGTTCATCCCTGCACTCTGCCCCAGCAGCCCAGCTACTGGGAGAGAAGAGACCTTGATAATCTCAGAGACACAGTCTTGCCTGAATTCCAGGGAGAGAGAGGATCCACAATTCATGCCCAGAGACTAGCCCTGGGTGAGAGGTTGGCATGGGTGATAGGTGAAACATGTCTTCATTCATGTTCACTATTCATGTGACAAGCAATTGTTGTGTGAGACTGAGAAATAGTGAACACAGCAGAAACTCTTCTCTGAGGTGTTTGTCCTACCATGGGCACACAGGCAATACACACGCTACATGGGCAGCTGGTGTGGCTAGAACCAGGTAAACACCAAACAGGAAGCAGGAACCCCTGAGTAGGTGCTGTGATTTTATACAGAGTAGTCAGGAGGGCTTCATCAGATGACACTGAGCCCTGGCATAAGGACAACCAGGTCACACATGTTGGACACTGGCCGTTGCAAAAGCCTGGGTTTTCTCATAAGTGAAAGTGGAGACTGCTGACTTGCCATTTAACTAGATCATTCTGTTGCTGTTCTGACTGCTAGAGATCTGGGTGGCTTTTCCACTCTTCTCTCTCCAGAGATTATAAAAGAAACAAGGGTGCTCTAATCCACTTGTTTTGGATGTGACTGTCACACTCTCAGACTGTACTTTAGCTGAAAATGGAACCTCCTTGGGCACTAACATGGCATCCAAGGTTCTTGACATTTTTGTTTCCCGTTCTCCTCCCACCCTTGCCATAAAGTGCCTGAAAACCCACCCTTGAGGGAGTTGTATTCATGCAGAGAACAGGAACAGTGAATAACAACAGCACATTGGGCCCAGTGAATGCTTTGATCATGTAATCAGGAAAGGTGGGTCTTTATGGAAATATGAAAATAAAAGGAGGACACAACCTGCTGCCTTTCCAAATGCCAGGATGAAATACAGGCCTCAAAGTAAAGTCTTGAATTAAGGGAAACATTGGTTATCCTTCTCACAGCATCCCCAAATTAATTTTAAAATAAAAATCAAAGACAAAATTCTAAGCATTCATCCTAACCTCTGAATAAAAATGTATATGTGTGTGTGCCTGTGTGCCCATATAAGTTTGTGTGTGTGTGCGCGCCCATGTGTGCTAGTGTATGCATGTGTGAGAGTGTGCACAGTGTGTGTGTGTATGTGGGAATGTGCATGGTGTGGGCCAGGTACCCATGTGTACATGTGTGTGCCCGAATGCCTGTGTGTGCATGTGCATGCATGTATCTGTGTGTGTATGTGTGTGTGTGTGTGTATGTGTGTGTGTATGTGCACACGCATGCACACTCTCATAAGACATTAAGAGAAATGTGGACAGGAGGTAGAAGAAGCACAGTTCAACACTGGGCTTTAAACTGCATAGAGAGGAAATGCTTACGCGAGTTGGGCAATTGCCTTGTCCAGATACCGCCTCATTCTTTCTTGACCACACAGAATGACGTCAATTTCCTACTCAATTGCAAAGCAAAACTACACATTAATGTTTTTATTGAGTGTATCATCCAAAGTCATCAATATCCAAATCCACCAATAAAAGAAATTTTTATTTGTTGAAAATCTGTGACATTAAGCATTAAAAATATTTTTTACACCTACTTATTTACCTGCATGGCCCCATGATAATACAAGCCAGTCTTTCTTTGTAGGCCTATAGGGAAACTAATATGGACCAAGCTGGAACAGGGTTAAAATTTTAGTGTTTTGTTTCTACTCTACCTTTGTCTTTAATTAAAACAAAACTACAAGAACAACAAAACCCCTAGAATTCTGGTGATGTGAAATATTGAACTTAACTGATAACCTTTTTCTGTAACAGCTTTTCTTCAAAAGCAAAGAAAACCAGTGAAGACCGAGCCCTGAGAGTGTCCCTGTGGCTGTACAAACAACACTAGCAGGTCCAGCTCTGTGTTTCAAACATGGAAATTGACTTCCACACTGGAGCTCAACCACCTGATGCCATGCTGTGCCCTGTAGCTCAGGCCCTACACTTGAACCAACACCTGTGTTAGCCATGCCACTCACTTGACCAAATGTGTGGCATTTTGAGGCTACAATGATATATGCACTATTCTATAGCATATAAATATTAATTTCCCTCTGAAGCCAATGTTAGTATTAGAAAATTTGCAAGCTCAAATAATATCTTTCACACATTTTTGTAAATGTACATAATCACTTTTACCATTTTCTCAAGTAAAAAGTGGTCATCCTTAACATTTGGTTTGTGGCATTTTAAACTTGGATGCTTTCCCATGACATTAAACAATGCTGTGTGAATAATCAGTGTAAACAAGTAGACACTGTCAAGGGTCATGCCCTGTTTTCAAGGTTTGGCAATTAAAAGCAAAATTCCCTTCTGCAAAGTTGCATTTGTTTAAGATGACTAATGGGCCTGCCTTTCTTGGGCACACCGGGTAGCCAACTAGCTTCCAGTTCTTGCCAATGTGACAGAACATGCCCCAAGACAAATAGCTAACCTGCCTGTGTTTGTAGGCTAATATAAGGATGTATTTGATGTTCTTAACATATTTAAAATGCAATCCTTAGCCCCATGTAGTGGTAAGCACCAGTAGTCTCAGACACAAGGAAGGCTGAGATGCTGAGGAGTTTAAGTCTAAGACTAGCCTGTGTTGCAGAGTAGGAGACCCCCATTGCAAAACAAAAAAGAATCAATTATTTTCCATCATATGTGATATAATTTTATGCATGATGTTTTTTATATAGGCATGGTGTTTTTATATATTGTGCATGGTATTTTTTATGTTGACATAATTTATATGATGGCTAAAAATCTATCAATCAATTTTTTGGTTTCTGTTTTTGTTAATTTGATTGTGATATTTTCTTCACTCTGATAGTATGACTTATATGCTAGTTAGCTTCTTCCTTTCCTTTATTGTTTAATGTAAAAGTATTGAGCGAGCAACTATAGAGAGTGGGTAGCTCATGAAGTAAAGAAATTCATTTGTAAGCACAAGGACCTGAGTTTGATTCCCAAAACCCATACAAAGACACCAGACATGAGGACTTTGGGAGCTATGATCAGTAGATCGTCGAAGTGGACAGTTAGTCTGACCTAATTGATGAACTCTGGGCCAATGAAAGGCCCTGACTCCAAAGAATAAATAGCAATCCAGAGAAAGACAGGCGATGTTTGCTGTGGAATAATCCTTTTGTTCACTGTGAATATGTATTATTCTAATTGGTTAATAAAGAGCTGACTGGTGGTTGGATAGGCAGGATTTTCTGGGCAGAGAGAATTCTGGGAAGAAGAAGGGCAGAGTCTGAGAGTCTTGAGGAAAAGCAAAAGGTACTGCCACATGGCAGAGGGTAGACAATAAATATGGGTTAATTTAGTTGTAAGAGCTAGTTAATAACAAGCATAAGCTATCAGCCAAGCATTTATAACTAATGTTAAGTCTTAGAGTCATTATTTGGGAACTGGCTTCCAGGACACCGAGAAACTCCATCTACAGATGTTGTTTTTCTGCCCTTTACATGCATGCACTACACAAACGTGCACTCCCACACACATATGAACATGCTACATATGTGTTTAGACAGTATTGAATATGAGCTAAATGTTTAGGCTGCTGTCTGATTCTTAGTTGCTCAGGATCAATGGAATCGACTAAGAGTTTCCTCTGCTTCCATGTTGTATGTAGCAAAGCTCTGCCTGTTCTTACAAATAGTCATGGGATACTATTAGGGGCTATA